GCCGGGACCGGTGCCGGTGCCACCGGCTCGTCCGGGAGCAGCTACGCGGCTGCCGCGGCGGGATCCCTCGCCCGAGCGCCCGAGCGCGGGCCTGGGCACGGCGAGACCCCCACTGCTACACGGAATATGTGCAGGCAGTTGGTACCGGCGTATAAAATACAACAATTTTAAAGGCTCCGGTTCTTGGAGTTCGGTTCTTGGCTTTATCTCTAATGGCCTTGAAGATAATAAAATTACTGTTTTGGGAGATACAAAGCAAAAATAATATAAAGCTGAGTATATTATAAATGCATATCAGATACATGGTAATTTGGAGCCAAGGAATTAATTTATCCCCGGTATATCCAAGCATAAAGGCTTACTGAATTGTAAATAGAGTTAATTTAGACAAAAAGTCCGTGACATACCTGTGATAAGCACAAGCTCTAGGAATCGTTGGAGCCACCTGGAGCACAGTCTTGGAATCGGGGCACATACCTGGAAGGCAAAGCAAAGGCATCCGCATTCGGAAGCGGTAGGAAGGATGCGGCCAAGCCCCGCGTCCCGCGCGCACGGCAGCGTCTGCCGGCAGCACACCGCGAGCAGCATCCCCCGCGGGCCGGCACGCGCGCTTTGGCCACGCAAAGCCACGACGGAGAAAGCCTGCCAGCTTGTTTTTCTTGTTTTGAAACGAAATAACGAAAGGAACGGCTAAGTTAGTGTGACTCTTCTCTTTAGACTGCAGTGTGGTAGATTAATAGCTCTATGAACAGATCTGCAAGTAGCAYCATCGTGCTAATCAAGATATTAAAAAAGTTTATGAGCAGTTGCTTAGGAAAAACAAGATAAAGCCTATGGAAATCTGATACTGGTCAATGGTGCATTTATTCAAAACATAATACTGACTTCAAGTCTCCATAAATCCCTTGAAAATGAAACTTCCATTGTGATCACTGTTCCAGATCTAAATGATTTATTTATTTTTTTCCTTCGGTTGAAATTAGATATATCTCAGGATATACAAGTTATTTACCTATTGCTACAGAAGCAATTGTGCCCCCATGAGATAATATGCCTAACATTCAAAGTAGAAGATAATTCAAATAGGAGTATCCTTATAAGCAGATATTTTGCTTTGTTAGTGTATTAGTTAATCTACAGAAGGTCACATTTCTGTGTGCTGCGTTTCAAAATTCAGGCTTTCCAGATTTCCAACTGGCCGGCTCTTGGGAGCAGGCAGGTGCTGGGCTCCCTGCATGCTCAGAAGAGGCAGGTTTCTCCTCAAGCGTCTGAGCTCCCCTGCTGCACTGCTCAGTTACACCAGCCAGGACAGTGACACCAACCCTGGCGCAGCCAGCGCACCGGCAACCAGAGCTGCCYGGCAAACACAACAAGTCCAAACAACCTCGAGCTCCTTTCTAAGACGGGAAGCACCATCCAGCCCTGGATGCCAAGGCATTAGGTGACCAGAGAACTATGCTTTGTGCAGCACTGCTGGGCTTTGAACAGTCTGGCCTAACTTTTCCCAAATCACAGAAGTCCCCCGGGAAGCTTCAGTAATCAAACAAGATCTCGCGGTCAGGAAGCTTTTCTTCATCCAGCCAATTTTATTTCCCCTCCATCATTCCATCTATTACTCATTACATCCTCCTGCCAAACTGGACATAATTCTTCTCCCTCTCTCATGCTACATATAGACTATTATGTCCTCTTATCCTAACCGCCCAGGCTCTGCGTATGAAGTCCTTCTCATTTTTCCTGCTATCCCTCTAAGAGTGTCTCTCCAGAGGAAAAGAACTTGGTGCTGCACTAAGTATTTTCTAAATTACATTTGGATGTCTCTAAATGTAAGGACACACAAACCATCGAATAAAGTACCTTGAACAACTAAGTGAAAATCCAAAGGCATGTAWTTATTACACCAGGAGAGGGTACTTCAGATGACATGGCAAGGTTGACTTTCTAGGAAGACCTTAAGTCATGATTTCCTTAGGAAATTCCCTCACTTGTTCTGTTGTTCTTGCTCAAGGCATGTATCATAAAGAACACATATTATTTCCAGTGCTTTTCATGTGCAAAATACTTCACAAGTATTATGGCACTGTGACATTAGGAAGATGCTGAATGAGTGAATGAGTGCATATTATCTTATATTCTTGAGACATAAATTATTGCTTCAAGATAGAGAAGTTAATGTAAAGTCAAGTCACCAAATAATGTCATTTGTTTTGGGGTAACTGATGCCGAAAACACTGAACATACAGACAGATCACTGCATTACACAGTTACAGCAGGTTGCTTGTCTCATCATCTCCTACTTCAAAGACCCAACTGTCACTGCCTTTCACTGTCAGAAAAGCGTAGTTCCTTTCCACGAATACTGCAAGGTAATTCCACAAACCAGATGCTGTTGCAAATTGCACTTCACCTCCTTAGCTTACAATTTAAAAGCTAYGAGCTGAGCCACTTCAAGTCTAGTAATCGGAAGATGGCGAACACAGGGTAAYGATTGCCTTCAGAATTCAGGAGCGCAGTACACTTGAACCGGGGTTTACATCCAGCCAAGAGAAAGAGCTATCTACATATCTTTAATATACTCCTCCCTCTTTACAAAACCTGACCAGTTTTAGGACTAGACTCTGATAATGGTATATGTTTGCATAAGGTGTCAGAACTGAAACAGAGCTGCATGATCACTGCCTGAGCTCAGAGTTTGCTTTTCCTTTTACAACACAGGAGAGAGGTAAAGCCACTGCAGCCTCAGAGAGTGCTCTGAGCACAGAGTGGGCACRCTCATGTAATCCCTAGGTCTTTAAGTACCTCAGTGTCAAACACACAGATGAGCAGTTACATTTCTTTTAATGCATGACAGGTTTGAGGTTCACAGTTTTAGCTCTGGTGCTTTTTGGGCCTTGATGCAAAGTGGGTGCCAGGAGCACAAGGACRGCATTAACAGCACAGGCCATGCGGGGTCAGTGTGACTTTCCCCGTGCCTGCAGAAAGGGCACAGCAACGGTGCTAATAAATCTGCTCTTGGACATCAGGAGCCTCTCACCAGCTGAGCAAGAAATACAGAAAGACACAGGCATCTTTCAAAATGCAGATGGCAGATTTAAAGGATCTCAAGCATGCAATAGGAGGGAGAAGCCTGAAAGCAGCACCTGCTGAGCCTGCACCTCCCCACAGCAGGAGCATGTCCTAAGCCAAGCTCAAATATCCCTGTTAGAGGTGCTTTCTTAAAAGATGGTTTCTGTTTTTCTTTAATGCTACTCTCCCCCTCTCCCTGCTCTGTGATTTCTGTGCTTGTTCCCCCACCGAGTTAGCTCTTGTTATGAAAGAGAAGGGTATGTTCTCTTTCCTGGTAGCTGGAAGACACTCAGAGAGGCAACGCGTTTGCAGAATGTTTCCCTGCCAAAGACACGTGGCTGCTTTGATTACTTGTCATGCGAGCAGTTGAGACGGCCTGAGCCCTTCTCCCCGCTCCCCACCTTTCCCACGGGCTGCTGCCCACGGCCCTGGATCCACARCTGTGCTGCCATCTTCCCCGCTGGAAGCCAGGGCCACAAAAAATAGATGCCATAAAGTCTGCAAGGCATCAGGCCCTATGATAAGTCTCCAAGTGCTCCATGGGCTACACTGGCAGCGTGTTCCTAGAGATACTGCTCATGTTTATAAAGTCTTCTGGGGTGAAGGTTGCTCAATAGAAAAGTCGCACAGAAATTTAACAAAAGCCACGCTGCAAAATGTAAAAACAAGGCAAAAAAGTAATTCTCCCACAGGAACTCAAA